ATTTGGCGACTGAATAATTTTAGTAGCCAAAACTAACTATACATGGACGAAAATATTTTTTTGTCGCTTGAGAGGGTAATTTTTGGGAAAATTGGGCCGAGCTTCGAGTTGGGTTTTGAGGCCCAAAACGCAGAGGACTAGGTAAAAAGGCCGTACTGAATACTCCGGCCTAGAGGGTAAGGTTACTCCGGCCTTGGGGAGACAAAGTTACTTCGGCCCAAGGAGGTGAGTTTATTCCGGCTCAAGAAGAGATAGTTGCTTCGGCCCAAGGAAGAGTAAGGCTACTCCGGTCCAGAGACAACTCGGAGTAGGGCCGGTCTTAGAGTTAGTCCGATCGCAGTATGTTCTAGGAAGACCGGTTTCGGAATTAATCCGGTCGTGACACAATCTGGTTAAGTCGGTCAGAACTTGTTACTTGGAAGTTTGATCTAAGCACACCAAGGTTGAACAGGGGCAGCCGAAGTAATGAGTTAAAGGAAAAGACCGAGCTAAGGATAGTTCGGCCTTCTCTGTGGCTCAGCATAGCCAGTGTTATTTCGGTCGTGTGGTAGTTCGGCTATGGAGAAAAACCATCCCACTTGGTTTAAGCAGTGGGGGAGGGTGTAAAAGGATAAACATTATCCTTTGGAGTATGAATCCTAGGAGGACTCTGCATGGAGAAATACAAGTCCTATTAGGATTGTGCCATATGAAACTTATAAAAGCTCACAAGCATCACCTTGGAGGAGGTAATTGAACACAATCTTTCTGAAAACTTAGAGCTTTGTCTATTTGTCAAGTTTTCTGACTTAGGCATCGGAGAGGTTTCCGGCACACACCCGCCGGCTAGCTCACGTTTGTGTTTTCAGGTGACAAAGCGACGTCGTACGGAGGAGCGTGGACTTGGTCAACAGGATTATACGAGGAGAATTATTTCCTCCCCGTGCATCGCTGAAAATAATTTGGTGGCTACCAAACTTTTGGTCGCTAAAGATTGAAAAATAATTTTTTATTTTTTATTCAGTGACTAAATAATTTTAGTAGCCAAAAATAACAGTACAGCGACTAAAAGATACTTTAGTCACCAAAAATAAACTTTTGGTCGCCAAAAATAAAAAGTAAATTTTTGTTTTTCATTCGGCGACTAAATATATTTTAGTAGCCAAAACTAACTCTACAGCGACTAAAAAATTTATTTTGTTGTTGAAAATAAATTTTTGGCGACCAAAAGTTTGATTGCCAAAGATAAAATGTAAATTTTTTTTTTATTTGGTGACTAAATAATTTTAGTAGCCAAACTTAACTGAATAGCAACTAACAAATTTTTTTTGTTGCCAATTGTGGTATTTGTAGCGACTAAATTTTTTTTAATCGCCAATAATCAATATACCCCGAGTAAAAAAAATTCGTAGCTAAATCTTGTACTTTTGTCGAGTAATATTATTTTTGGTCGCCAATTTGACACCTTTTGGTTTTAGTCGCCAAATTTGGTTGCCAAAACTGTAATTTCCTGTAGTGTGGGTGCATCACGGGGAATCTGTTCCCATGAATCAACCTTATACATTGGATAATGACAACCATGATGACTTTGGAAGTGTTAGGGATAGAATGGAAGAGGAGACAGGTGAAGATCAAGATGAAATCCTAAATTTGTTAGAAGATGTTTATATAGGGACTATAATGAATGATGATGAAAACAAGGGGGATGAGGAGGATGATGATGTGGCTAATAATGTCGAAAAAGAGAATGTGCCCAACTTTAAAAAATTAGAAGGAAAATTGTAAAACACAAGACTTAAAAGGCCTGTTTAGGAGGTGCGAAATGACCACCAAAACTGTTGGCACGGGCAGCTTGCTCAAGCCTAAATAGACTTGTAGGAACAAACGAGATCTCGATTGGATTTCTAGTTAGAAAATTAGAAGAAAAATTATAAAACACAAGACATAAATGGCCCGTTCAGGGGGTGAAATTGTGAAATGTCCACCGAAATTGCCGAAACTTGGCACGGGCAGCTTGCTCAAGCCTAAATATAGACTTGTAGGAACAAACGGAACCTCAATTGGATTTCCGGTTAAAAAATTAGAAGGAAAATTGTAAAATACAAGACTTAAAAGGCCCGTTGGGGGGCAAAATTGCGAAATGACCACCGAAATCACCAAAACTTAGCACGAGCAACTTGCTCAAGACTAAATAAACTTGTATGAGCAAATAACACCCCGATTGGACTTCCCGTTACAAAATTAAAATCAAAATTATGAAATTCATACCGATTTTTTTTTCCTTGTCAATCTAATATTGTTTTTTCTTTTTCACGTGATAGGTTGGCATTGGTGGAAAATAGTTCGGGCTGTATCAGAAAATTTGATTTTGTATTTTTGAAAATATTTTGACTTAGGATTTTGGTAAATGACTTATGGATTAAATGTTTAGCATCAAAATATTTGATTTTGTGTTTTTGTAAATATTTTGACATAGGATTTCGGTAAATGACTTGTGGGTTAGATGTTTAGCATCAAAATATTTGGTTTTGTTTTTTTGAAAATATTTTGACATAGGATTTGGTAATGGATTTGTGGGTTGATGTTAATAGTTTGTAAGTACTTGGTATGAATGTTTCAAATTGGTTGAGAATTGTAATTATGTTTATTGGGATGCTTAATAGCTATTAATTTTGAATTATTATGAATGTCTTGCATAGGTGTATTACTATTTACATTGCATTTGTGTATATATTGTGTATAGAAAAGCAGGTGTTTTGGATTATTTTTAACAGGAAAATTATTAAAATCTAAATTTGTGCAATGAATTTTTAGTGACATGTGATATTTTGGTTGCTGTTAATATATTTGGTGACAACATATTGTTTTGTCGATAAAAGTTAGTGGCTATTCCAAGAACTTTTAGCAACCAAAACTTGTCGTCGCTAAAAAGTTGATTTTTAGCGACCAAATTAATTTTGTCGCTAAATAGTACTTTTGGCGACGAATTTAATTGTCACTAAAACTACATAGCCTATCCAAATCTTAACCTTTTAGCGACAAATTAGAATTTTACAGCGACAAAAACATATGATTTTTGGCGACAAATTTTGCTTGTCGCTAAATGTCTACATACGGTGACAATTTATTATTTGGTCGCCAATACTTTTAGTAATAGGCCTTTGGCGACCAATTGGGCACTTGTCGCCGATTTTTTTGGCGATGAAATTTGTACTTTTGGCGACCAATTTTTCGGTCGCCAAATGTGCTTTTTGTTGTAGTGACAATTACTTAGAAATGGTGTACCTTTGGGCCAACCTAATATTTTTGTAATTAAAGAATTATGATATGCAAAGTTATCATTTTTTAATACTTGGGAAGGGTATTAAATTTCAATTATTTGATTTGATATCTATGTGTCATTCTGATTGGGTTACTTTGGCAACTACCAATCGTATTATAATTTAGATTTCAAATCAAAATAAAAACTTTGCATGGACATTATTGAATAAATAATAGTTTATTCACAATTATTCATCACCATAATCATAATGCATATTACTAAGTCATAAGAATAATATTAAGACAACAAATATTAACACAACTCATATTATATGTCACATAAGAATATATACTTTTGTACCACATCAAACCACATGTAAAAATCAAGTTTATTCATAATGGTGGTAATAACATCGTACTGAAATAATTTTTTAGAAGTTACAGTTAGATCCATAAATAGCAATATGCTTAGTATCATAAAGATCACAACAACACTTTAATGTGCAGCACTGTAAAATTTGATAATACAAAATTCAACAAAACATGAATAATAATGATTTATTATGTAATACGAATATCTTTAGGCATTACCAAATCAAAAATACAGCTATTATTACTGATCAAATTTTTTCCCAAAATAAAGTCAATTAAATCATGAAAAATATTCAATTAATTAGATGTTAATTTATTCGATTTATCTAAAATTAATAATTCAACAAAATCTTTACCACCAATATAGATAATCATGGATGGGTCATCAATCAAAAATGTTCCACAAACCGATGGAGAACATAACTTTATCAAAATAATAGGTCTAATCATAAAGTGTGCATGGTAGATTTATAAATATTATTCATGGAAGATATATACCCAAACAATAAAATCGTAATCAAACTTGAGCACAATTCCGAAATCATAATTAGTTCAAATCATGTCTCACAACTTATAATAATACACAATCAATCAATGACACATAAATTAAAAATCATTAATTTTATTTAATGAAAAATAATGATGTTCTCTAACCAGTGCTCTGATATCACATGTAAATAATTTTATGGTGTTATGCATATAACAACCTTCATAATCCAAAATCGTAAACTATCATGCTTTTTACAAATAATAACATAATACGAAAAATAAATAACATACCTGAATCAATTATGCGAAACCTTCGAGTGATTCAAAATTGATTGAACATAAACTTAATATCAATATTAGTGGAAAAATGTTTTTCTCTCTTGACCCTCTTGAAAATATGTTATATTCCAAATAATTGATGGGCATCTAAATATACTTTTATAAGTGAGGAGAGGATCAATTTCCACTTGCCTATCAAAGTATGAAACTTGAAAACTACCAATCAGATAATAATTTATGATTCAAGATATGAAACTATAATCTTATTAAATTTATAATTTATATTGCCATATCATGTGGTCACCATAATAACTAAATAATTAAATTTCTTACAAACCCTCCCAAAAAAATTCTTACAAAAGGATGTAGAGTTGAAATTAATGGATGAGATGATAATTTTTGTTGCTCCGTAAAATTTTCTGATGGGGCTTATAGCCAGCAGGTCCGAGTTCTTCTTTGATGGAAGACTCCTTGTCTTGGTCTATCTAGCTTCATAGAAAATTTAACTAAACTTTAGGAAACGTAGTTTATAATTTTTTTATTTTGTCATTTTGTGTCAACTGCTATTTCCTTTTAAATATTATGGTAGGTACAGAAACACGAGGCACACGCCATTAATGACCTGATTGTGTCACCCTCCCTCCATCATATCTAATCTTTTCTTTTTGCATATAATCTCCCTGCAGGTCTCCAACTCCATCCCACACAATGTCTTTGCATTCTCTCTCTATGGCTTTCAGCAAATTGCTTTAGTCTGGAGTGCCTTAACAGGTTGCTTTTCTCTTCTCTTTGTTCTATTTTTTATCATTCTTTCTTAAATTAAGCAACAGGATCCGTTGGTTCACTTGTCGGATTTTATTTTTTTATTTTTATAATGGATTGTTTGGACTGATAAAAATATATAAAATGAAAAAAAGTTGCCTACCCAATTTGGTTTTCCTTTATTATATATCAACTTTTGCAGGTTACTTGTTGAGTTTTTGAGCATCTTCTCCAACAAAGCTAAGAGCAACTTGAGGTTTTAATCTTTGATCCTTCATTAATGGCCACCAGTGCTCAAGGCTCCGACGAAGAAACAAGTTTCTTAGATGATTCACCAAAAGTTGAATGGCGGCCAAGTACCACTTTCGTCCATTGGAAGGGCTTCTGGCTTATGCCTGATCTTATAAAATCCATCATGATCATTGAAAATCAATTCAAGCCTCTCCCATCAGATATACTCCTAGCTTCGTACCCTAAAACTGGTACAACATGGCTAAAAGCTCTCTCTATCTCAATACTCAGCCACAACTCAAAGGCTTGGATATCGCCGGACGGCGATGCCCAAGCCGATCTATTGCAAGCCCACAACCCCAATGAACTCATTCCCTTCCTTGAAATGGAGACTTTTGGCGAAAACTGGTCTCAAAATATCAACAAAGTTCCTTGAACTCATTCCCTTCCTTGAAATGGAGACTTTTGGCGAAAACTGGTCTCAAAATATCAACAAAGTTCCTTCTCCAAGGGTTTTCAGCACCCATCTCCCTTACTCAATCCTACCCGAGCATGTAAAGAACTCTGGATGTCGTGTCGTTTATATTTCTCGCAATCCAGCAGATACTTTTGTTTCTAGTTGGCACTTTTATTTCAAGAAGTTTGGTGCTTCAATCTCATTTGAAGAGGCTTTTGATGAATTCTGTAGGGGCGTTGTTCCGGGAGGTCCTTTCTTCGACCATGTGTTGGAGTATTGGAAAGAGAGAAAGAATAAGAATGTTTTCTTTGTTACCTATGAGGAGTTGAAGGAGAATCCAAAAGAGTCTGTTAGGAGTCTCGCTGAGTTCTTAGGATGCTCATGATGAAATTGAACAAGTGGTGTGGAAAAGTAGTCATGAGAGACTGAGTAAGTTGGATGCTAATACTGATGAAGGAAAAAAACAATGGCGAGGAATTCCGTTCAATTGGTATTTTCGAAAAGCAGTTGTTGGAGATGGGAAGAACCAGTTGACAACTGAGATGATGGAAAGGCTCAAGGCTCTTGAAAATCAAAGGTGGGAAGGCTCGGGTTTAAAATTGAAACTCTCTGTCGCAAAGCCCAACATCAAATTGATGGACAAAATTTGAAGTCACATTTGGTACTAATTTTACTTTCTTTAATTTTTTTTTTTAATATAAAGAATAAGAAGAAATCTTTAATTTATTTATTTTTTTTTGTTTATAATCTTTTGATTTTTTTAATAATTTTTTTAACTATATTAGTTTATTGTCAAACGGACGTTAGTTTCCACGGATTCATATGAGCATGAATCATGATCACATACAGCAGCAAGGGTGGCTATAGGCCGAATGGGCCAATCCAGCAAAGTTTTAGGGCTTGATTTAATTTTAGGCCTAGTTTGGGATTAGATCTTGAAAGTCAACCCAGTTTAACCCAAGTTTATATAAATAATATTTGTTTGTAATTTAAATTGTTAAACCTCTTAAACAGGTTGAAGAATTGAACCCTTTGACCTCTTTTCTTTGCTCTTAATTGTAGTCAAATGAGACATAATGTCTAGCGTGTTACTTTATTTTGTTGGAGGATAAAAGTTGTAATTTAGTTGGATCAAATGCTAAGCATGTATAATATAGAGAGTCTGTTGTTGGAGTAGTCATAACAAATTTATCAACAAACATACCATTCAAGACACAAAACTTAAATATAGATTTCACTACTCAATTTGAGTTCATTTACTCATGTGTTTATATATTTGTTTGTATTTTTGTCAGCCTTTCTAACATTATTACAATCAATTATTTCGGACAAGTTATTTCGTGGTCTTAGAATATGGTCACATAGTACTCCAAATGTATTGTAATTAATGGAGGGGGTGCAATTTACAATTTTGTGTTGGTCATGGAAGAACAACAAGGGACATAGTGTTTGATGATTGATTATAGACATTGTTAGATTAAATAGGCGCATTTGAATTCAGCCGGTTCAAACAAATTGGCTCCGACTTCCCTTTCGCTAAATCTTGTTTACATTCCATGTATTGACTGTACGTAGAATTCTAATATCATTTCTTGTGATCCGACTTCAATTATCAATTGGCTTAAATATGAAAATGACAATATTTTCAAGTCATAGAATTTCCATTCCTCGTTAACTTATTAGTGCCACTGGTCTTTTGCAGTGTATCCTTGGGCTGTGCAATTGACCAGAATTCTGTGACGCCCCAGGCTGGCTGCAGTTTTCCTTTCATAGCTTTATTTTTTCTTTTCCTTTTATTTTTTCTTCAAGTTTTCTTGATTCTGTTCTTATCCTTGTATTTACACCGATGCCTTTCTCCTTGTATTTAGACTAATGTCTTAGTTTGAATCATATTGATGTTTCTATTTCTTCAGCTGAAATTTTGTGTGATTGACAGATTCCCGAGGTAGCAACTGCTGTATTGAATAAACTCAAAGGGACTGTTCAGTGTAGCTCTTATGGTTTTCTCTTTTTCTTTTTCTTTTTCTTAGATTTTTGTATTAGAGTGTTTGGTGCAATTGCTGCATACAATGCATGAGACAAAAATAGATTAAAAAAAAACTGATTATTGAGAAGTAGGGAGATGTTTTGAGCTTTTGCCTTTTTATTATCAGCTTTCAACTTTGTATTAGAAGTTACACCAAATAGGACCAATGTTCTTCGAGTTTTGTTTAGTTTGATTCCCTAATGTAAACTAGCTGGGAATATTGTGTGAGTAATGTAAGACTAAATTATTTATTTAGTCATTTTATTGACCCACTTGATATGATAATATGAATTAGAGATTTGACAGGATTATGATTCCAAATTTTTTGCTATAATTAATTGGTAAATAAAGGAGAGTGTTTTCCAACTATCTTACTTTGATGGGAAAGTAGAATCATTGTTAAATAAGGAAACTGGTCTTCTCTCTACCTATAAAAGGACATTCAGACTACCCATCAAAATAATTCTGAATTCAATGTATTCTAAAGAGGGTCAAGAGAGAGAAACCATTTTCCACTAATATTGATATTAGGTTTATGTTCAATCAAATTTGGGTCACTTGAAGGTTTCGTATAACTGATCCAGCTATGTTATTTATTTTTCATATTACGTTATTATTTGTAAAAAACACGATAGTTCACGATTTTGAAGTATGAAAGTTGTTATATGTATAACACCATAAAATTATTTACAATTAATGCCGTTGGATGATGAGCTTGAAGTAATGCTCCTTTCCCACTCTGTGGTTGTGTTTGAGAAACCCTGAAGAATGCGATTATTGAGAGTGGTGATTTGATACATCTTCTATTGAGCATTTGAGATTTCAATTGTGCTTTGACATGACCAGTTTTCATGATCATATAAAAACAATTACCAACCCTTTAATCAGGTTCATAAATTATCTATACGTCCTTAAATTAGATATACATGTTACAACAGAAACACAAGCAAATCTTAAATACTGTTAGTGTTTTTTCATATTCTGCTTGTAGCCATTTTCACAACAGGTTATCTGCCTCCCCGCCGGTCCTTTCTCCATTCCCACGGCATCTCAGGGTTTGACGAAGCCCACAAGCCTACTCGCTTTGTCCGAGCCTCTTTCTCCCACTGGTATGACACAACACGAATAGCCATTAGAAATGAAGTTTAATACGATCAATTCTCAGAATTAACAGTAAAATGGATTACCTTCTCAAGTTCTGGACGCTGGTCATAGGCTTTGTAATGCCATGCCAATCCTTTCTTCAGCATTGATTCCTATACAGAGACAATTGTTGGAAGACTCCCAATGAGTGTTTGAACTTTGAAGTCAGTTTAGAAAGGCAGAGACATTCTGTGAAAACAGTACCTGTATAAAGATACCATTGCAATAAACATCTCCTACAGACCGGCCATATTGATCTTGATCAAAGACGAGAACTCTCAGACACTTGCCCTGAACAAGCTTGGTCAGTTCCTCCTTTGCCTCCTTTCCATATGGCATTTCACTCTCCGGCGCATCTATTCCCCTGTTTTCTTGAGAAGTCATTAATCATTGATAGTTGCCTTGTTTGGTGCAGTTTATAAGGTTTACTTATAGTAGTTTGTATAAGAATGATTGATGCAACTTCTGATTATAGTTTTAAATAAATTGATCAAAAAGAAAAAAACTGATTATTGAAAAGATGAGGGAAATGTGCTTTTAATTTTTGTTTTCTAATTATCAACTTTCAACTAATAAGAAGCTGCACAAACAACTCTATTGGTTCTATTTGGTGTGCACAAACTAGTCTGTTGGCTCTATTTGGTGTAACTTATTGAGTTGTTTATAGTAGGAATAGTTTAAATAAACTGAAATTTTTTGATTATTCGGAAACGGGAGAAGGGTTGCTTTTAGCTTTTGATTATCAGCTTTAATTTGAGAAAAGTTACACTAAACATGCTGATCATAAATCAAAATGATTGCAGTTGGCATTACCTTAGTCGAATCCGATACTTGCGTGCAAGAATCTCCTGACTCTGAATATTCAGAACACTGTGGTGAAATACAAGCCGTGAGTGACCCGTGATTTTGAAATTAAAATACCGATGAATTACAGAAATTCACATGTCAAATTCATATACAAACTTATATCCTGAATCGACAATTTGCTTCCGTAGTGCATCTGCCTTGGCGTAATTCTTCCCCACACGTGCTTTTGATCTTTCAACGGCTGCGATTTGCACGTCTATGGGAACAGAAGATGATTCTCTTGTATCCATGGTGCTCACATATACTGTGATGCCATCCCCATCCACAACAGATTTTGCATCCACCTGGGAATTATGTTAAAAACCATTCATTGAAATCAAGAGTCTTGGAGATAATTTCGAGTATTTGAGGATTTGGGATTGTGAAATTGTTCTTAACTGGTAGAGTCTGCAATTCAAACTGGAGTCCGTCAGGCTGTGAAGTAGGTGGTCCAGCAGAGGGTTCAACAAGAGTATGAGGAAGAGGGAGGCCATAGAAAGTCAATAGACCCTACTCAAAAGAAAGCAACAACAAATCAGATTCAGCACCAAGGTTTAATTCTGAAGTTGTAAGCATTTCGAAAGAAGATCACACCCTGTCTGTTACGACAGAAATATTTTTTGTATTTTTTGGTATTTGTTGCAATAGAAAATGACAATCAATGAAAAATATTTTTTGTGGTCAATAGAAAACAAATTTAAATAAGATGTTTTTCACTTTTAAAATAAGAAAAATATTTTTGGGACTAAAATCCTACCACAGCGGCCACCCCACAAGAGTATGAGGAACAGGGAGATCCTCGCCCCCAGACAAAACCACTTGTGCATTAGATTTAAGAACAGAAGTAAACATGAGATAACATTTCCCACGGGGAAAAGAAAAGCTTTTCATAGAAAACGTTGTGACTAGGGCCTAGTTGTGTTTTCGTTTTCTATGCTATTGTCTTTTGTGTTCCAAAAATACTCATTGCTTTCCTAATGTTTTCATTTTTATGTGAAAACAGTTTTCAAAAATCTGAAAACAATTTTTGGTACTTTTTAAAAAGTGGCAGCTTTTCAGTACTATCCCAAAATAGTTTTCAAAAACAGTTTATCAAACAAGTTTTCTGTGTGTTCTTGAAAATAAATAGAAAAGTGAAAAACAGAAACAACCAAAGAGACTTGTTTTAACCTCAACATCAGCCTTTTGATGTCTCTTCAATATCTGTATGATAAGCCTTGAAGCTTCTTCTGGTGTTCTTGGTGGAGGTTTTGATTCTCTCCATGCCTCAGAAAGTTTCTTATACCTTCATTTTCCCATTGTAAATTCAAACAACTCAATATACATAGAGTAGAACACAAATCAAGCAGCAAAGTACAAAATTTACTTGAAACAATTCAATTTGAAATTACAGTGTTAACCTAATCAAGAAGCTAGATTTATTAATTAAGATCAAGTGTTATACACTAGTTACCAGTTAGCCTGAGCCTTCTTTGAAGAAACTACTTGCTTACTGAGTCCTTCAGGAACCTCACAAAAAAAAAAAAAAAAAAAAAAAAAACTAAAAAAAAAGAAACTTCCTGATTAAATGGGATAAAATTAAGAGCAACCCAGAACCCCAAATATCTTCAAAACTTCAATTCTGACCCAAAACAGATCATAAAGTACAA